TCTTTAAGTTGCTTGAAGACGTTTCACCTCTCATCCGAGAAGCTTCTTCAGTTCTGGACTCTCCACCATTTGACCTTAGAACTGAAGAAGCTTCTCGGATGAGAGGTGAAACGTCTTCAAGCAACTTAAAGAAGTCCAGACGCTTTTCTTTGCAAGCTCCTTTGACAATGTTTCAAACAGATACTCAAACCTGTACTTAATATTCTGCATACTGGAAGGTTGATAAGGCCGAGGCAGGTGATGGATCACGAGGAGAAGAACCTCAGTGTGGACAGCTACTGGTATTACGCTGCAGCCCTGCTGAGGCCGAGCAAAGGTCTGTCACGTGTCGCCAAAACATGAGTGCAGAGTTTACTGTAACATGTCTGAAGGTGCAGTTACAACGAAGGCCTTTTAATGAACGCCAAATCAATGGAGAAGTGAAAATCACTCTAAAGCTTATTAGTGAAGAAGAGGCTGAGTGGATCTCCCAGTTCTTGGAGAAGAGAAGCACGATCAAAGGTCAGTAATCCACTTAAAGCAGCTCTCAGGAGCCCTTCGAGTCTCAGCACAGGAACAGTGATCCACTGTGACAAACCGAAGCGTGATTCATTGCTTCAGATGAGGCAAACGCATCGAGGACATCATGAGAAATGTTTGTTGAGCATTTTGTGATTATTTACAATAGAGCCGTCTAATTATTACAGGTGAAATCAGCCCAGGCTGGAGTCTGCGTAGAGTTAAAGCAGCGCGGCCTTTCTTCACTGTAAACACGCACACCCTGACCTCATTCGTTTAAAAAGCAGATGATATGTGCTGAGAAAACTCAAAGAAAACTACAACGCAATGCTTCCTGGGAAAAGGCTGAATTCCAACCCTGCTGCTCTGCAAGTTTACGCCTCGCATGGTCGTGCAGTCGGCCTGCGTGGAACATTCGGCGGCCCTCAGACCGTACGTTTGACATCCTTGCTATGAGGTCGGCCCACACGTTCACAAACATTCATCCTTCAGTTTGAAGGATGATTTTGTTCTACAGCAGGTGTAGAAAGGCTCGTGCTGAGTGTCAGGCCGAGGTGAACACGCCTCCTCAGACGCGTCACTGTCCTCGGCTGGTGCGGACGAGTGGAGAGACTATCGTCAGCAAATAAGGGGAAAATGGTTCTTTGAGCCTGGACGTGAAATACTTGAGTAAAAGGTGAACCACCGCTGAGGAGGAGCACGAATTCTTTCTGTGACCAGAGCTCAGCTTGGCCAGCTGTGGTCAGCCACTCGGACCCTGGCACATACCTCCACACAGCTGCTGCTTTCCTGAGTGCAGCACTTCATCCTTATGTTGCCTCATTCGTCTGTATGAACACGCTGAGCTGCAAACGCTGGTCCTCAACGCTTCACTTGACCTCCTGCAGTGCATTTGGACATTAATTGAAGAAGTTATTTGGAAGCTTTATCTATTTAATCTCAGTAATCACAGCCAGGTGGTGCAGGCGTAGCACAGCATTTCCAGACTGTGCAAAGACCCTGTGTGGTGTTTTTTCCCTGCGGCCCTCCAAAAGACACGAAATCCTCCACAGCTCGTCCGTGGGTGTGACACGGCCATGAATCGGTTCTTGTCTTTGCTGCCCGGCCGTGCCCCACCTCCACCTCTTGCTCCACATTAGCTGGGATAGACTCCAGCTCTTTAGCTGCTATCACAGCTGCTGGTGGCATCCAGAGACTGGTGGCATGGAGAAATTTGAGCTTGTAGAAACTCCTCATTCCAGCGATCATTAGATTTCTCTCCTGTAGATTAAATATTCTCAGCTTTTGAAAAGCTCAGATTGTGCGATCAAAGGAAACCGCAGACAGAACGAGGGTCGATCACTCGTCGTTAATCCTCGGCTTTTATTGGATAAGAGTGATGAAGACACCTGCAATCAATCAATCCTTATGCAATCAAACCTCTGAAGCATCACTCATTATAAAGTGCCGTTGTACGTCTCCACTCACAGACACCGTGGGGGTGGGGATGCATTGCTTTACACCACCCTCTCCCAAATCCTGTCGCAGTGAAACGCTGCTTTCTGTCAGGATGTCACACTTTTTTTTAAGCAGCCAAATGAGGTCAGATCCATGCATGAATGTGAACATGTGCATTCTCCTGCAGGAAAATAGCACCAAAGACGCCATCAGGGGAGAAATCTTCTTAAACCCTGTTAAATCCCATTAAAGCACAATAACCTCACAGCACCTCTCAGTACGCCATAGTCTACCTGATCTTCAGGGTCTCCTGATTTTTTGCAGCTCTGTGGATTCCCCACCGAGTTCTCTTCGCTCTCCCTGTAACCCACACTCAGACTTGCCTTGGCAGATCAATGGAGCAGCATGAGGTTAGGATTTTAATTGAGCCGTCCTGAAGGGTGGGGGTGGTTTTAATGAGGCCAGGGCCTGTTTTCATCCTGACCTTTGAGGCTGTGCTCTACAGGTGTCCATCCTCTAACTTAAAAGGAATGTATGGGCTTGTAGGGTTACCCCAGAGGTGTCAGCCCTCACAAGTGTGTCTGCAGCTTGACATTTTCACCTGAATGAAAGTCTCAGCCAGGTTTTTTAACCTGTTACACTGTATTCAGTGTTTCTGATACCTGTGTTATCATTTAGCAAGGAGGATGGTTTGCACTCACGCACCACCCAAACCAAAAATCCGATTGTGCACAATATTAATAAATGACACAAGAACACGGCTGCTTTGTTCATGTAATCATATTTTTGTCACCACCAGCTTAAAGAACAACACAAACAGTCAGTGAGCACCAGCTCCACAGAGACCAGCACAGGACACTGGCTGTGCAAAGGTGTGCTGGGGACTGTGCAGCATTCAGCAGCAGGATGAGACGGCATGCACAGCTGGGACAGTGCACAGGAGCATCTGTGCCACATATGGACTAAAAGACCCGACGGGAGTGAAAACGAGGCTCAGATGTTAGCAGGTCTAAAGTTTCTTTAATGTGAAATTAAAGCAGATTTAACCAAATAACTTGTCCACTGAACTCTTGAAATCCATCTGAAGCATCAGGTACAAGTGTCATTACAAACCACTGCTGCAAATGAGTGAAGTAAAAGTCACCATCATAAGAAAACTCTAAGTCAGCTCGTCCCACAAAAACCATGATGACATCGTCAGCCTGGTCATCAGCGCTAAGTGCAGCCAGGCTGTTTCAGCAGCCAGTCAGCCCAGCACACTGAGCACACAGACGCATCAGACCAGAGGTAAATAAACAAGCCATATACAGTATCAAAGTAATCTATTACTTGTGTTTGTGCTTCCTGAGATTGTAAAAAGTACTCGAGAGCAGTGACACCGCCATCATTTTCACACAAAGACATCTCTGCACATGCTCCACACGCCCATCAGGCCAGCATCACTGTCAGAGTTCACGGTGAGGGGATTCTGCAGGTGATCCTTAGCGGGGGGGTGGAGCCTATCCCTATTAAGCACACGTGTTTGAACCTGCGCAAACATGCAAACGGTGGAGGTGAACGCAGGCAACAGTGCCAACCACAATGCTGCCTTTATTCAGGATGCAGCCTACACTCTGCTGTACTCGCTGTGTTTATTCGGCAGGCATCAATAAATAACGTGACCTGGATATGAGCCGACAGCAGGAACGATTTGACCACAGTGGCGTCTCCTGAAGCTTTTATTTACTTGCTCGACTCGATTGCTGTGCCTCAGTAAACAGGCAGATTTGTCAAACAGCCGTGCTTTGTTTGTAAAATATCAAAGTCATTACGTAAGAAATTATATCAGAAAGAAAGGGTGTGGGCATGCACTTTGTTCCCATATATCAGGGGTGTCCAACTCCAGGCCTCGAGGGCCGGTGTCCTGCAGGTTTTAGGTCTCACCCTGGATATCACACCTGAACCACATGATTAGCTATTCTGGAGAACTTCAGGACATGTTGAGGAGGTCATTCAGCCATTTAAATCAGCTGTGCTGGATCAAGGACACATCTAAACCTGCAGGACACCGGCCCTCGAGGCCTGGAGTTGGACACCCCTGCCATATATACACACATGTGATCTCTGTGATGAAGACAAAGGGGTTTACTTTCTGAACAGCTCGTTGTTGAAACGTTTGCACAGAAATCTGGACTAAAATGTAAAACCTACAAACTCTTGTGTGAAATCAATGGTGCTGCGTTTGCGTTGAGAAGGATTATGGGTATGCCACATCTTTTTAAACACTCACTTCACTGTTTTTGTCCATGAGGACTTCTGTCCTCTGAAGTTCAGCACAGGCAGGCTTTCTTTGCATTAGCTGGTTTAACAAAACGGGCTTCTCAGTGCTCTTAAAAAGTATTTTATGCGTCATTCGAGTCTTCTTCCCCACAAAATGGATCAAGTGAGCACCGCCTGCTCCAACCAGACTGAGACGGGTGACAGAGAGCTGCATTTAAAAACAGGAAACTCAGCGATGTCTTTGTGCTCGGCCTGTGCCGGCTGCACAGGTTACACGTGTACAACACTCAGGACCCTGTACGTACAGGAATCTGTGCGAACGCTTCACTTCCACATTATGTTTTCAACATGTTACCATGGCGATCAAAACCCACCACCACTGCAATGAAAACTGATTTTAGGCTAAATTTACATTTCTAACCTGGTACAGAGCACGAGTGCACAACTTCCATGAAAGCGGCTGTCACCGTGGTAACTGATGCTGAACGCAGCCCGAACAGGAGCGGCTTATCAGAGTGTTGGTTTAAAATCAGCTGGTTCTTCTAATTCACATTAAGTTTGAGATGAAACCAGATCACATGACGCAGGGTTTTACATGGGTAAACTGACAAAGTCAAACCTTATTAAAACCACTGAAGCCCAGGTAGAGTGACAGGTGTGCAAAGTGCACGTTTCCACTTGGTGATGAAGAAGCTTTATTCTTACCTGCTGCTGAGCCTCTGCTGAAACTGCAGCTACGGCAACACAGAATAAATCAAACAAAACGTTTCCTCTGTCGACAAAGCAACTCCCACTTCTCGTTTTTAGCCTCTGCAACAGTAACAAGCTGGAACATGTAAAACCCAAGATTAACACTGCAGAAGATTGTTAGTCGCTTTTCTTTGTGGCATTTGTGCAGTTTGCCGTTCAAGTTTTATGACCTTTACAGAAGTTTTGTCATCTGATACGGTCACTGGCTGGAGTAGGCGACACTCACAGGGATCATTCTGAGTATGACATGTGAAACGCTCAGAGCTGGAAGCACTGAGCCTAAAGACGTTGAGAAACACCACAGTGATGACACCGCCCCTGGTGACAGTACACAGGAACAACATGATGGTCAAAAAGTATGTTTATGGTATAAAGACTCCCCTCCTTCACCACAGTATCTTTTTATTACAGACTGCTCCAAAGAAGCAATGTTTCACTGTTAGCCACATGCTCCGTCTGCCTGAGACCAGTTTTTAAACGTCCCGTCTGTTAACTTGTTTCAGACAAAAAGAAGAAGTAAATCACAGAACGTAAAGCCAGCTGCTTCGTCCTCGCAGGTTCTTCAGTTCTCCATCAGTGTGCAGCTCCAGCACCTCTACCAGTTCTCCAAGCTCACTGCTGCATGTGCTTGTTTGCAGAAATCTATTTTCCTCGTCCACGAAACTGAGCGCTGAAATTTACTGAGTAAAACACCTGATACATTTAAACGGGACATAAAAGAAACAGGCAACAAGATTCAAACTAAAGACAAAACAGTTGGCACTGTGCAGCTAGGCAGCTCCTTCTGGGGTTGTAGGGCGGTGCTTTAAAAATACTTGGGACAGAATACTACACGGGGGGCAACACTGTCGGAGTACGTCCTCATTAATGGAACGAAGAACGCTGAAGCAGGCTGAATACTTGAGCAGCATGATTAAACGAGCTGTGTGCACAGACATGCCCACTGACACAGCAGAGTGAACCCACGCTGTGACCGACTGGCTCAGAAGAACATGTCCTGGTACAGGTTCTGGCCCATCTCGATGTAGGCCTCCTTCTCCTGTGCAGACATCTGCTCCACCAGCTCTGGCCTCTGGCTCACCTCTCTGTACGAGAAGGGCCGGCCTCCCACCATCACTGTGGGCTCATCGCCCACTTCCTCAAATTCATCGTCGTCCTCATCATCCTCCTCTTGGCCCCGATGCTGCGCGGCCGCGGCAGGAGGAGGACCCGGGGGCGAGTCGTCGTCCGACTCGCTGGTGTCGCTGTCTGAGTCACTGGCGTTGGCAGAGGTGAGAGCCCTCGCAGCGGCGCTGGCTCCGCCTGCACCGGCGCCTGCAACGCTCCTCTTCTCGTGGATTAGCAGCGCGCGCATCACTTCCTCGTTTTCATCTACCTGACTGGTGCCAGGACCAGGCGCTCCATCCTGGGCTCCAGGTACGTCACCACCTGTGAAAACCACATTGAGATTAGATCACATTCTCATTTTTAGCTTAACTCACAACTTCAACACAGCTCTGCTCTTCAACCCTGTTATTCTGCATCCGTGTCATGTGGTAAGGTAACCATGGGGTCGAGTGGAGATTTATCATCTGATCACATGATGCAACTTCTAACCAATCCAGGACATCTCGCTGGAGCGTAGGCTGGATGACACAGCACCTGCACCGTTTCTTGGCAGACATTCAGTGCTGCCATGTTTCATCACAGCAAAGCAAAAAGAGGGCGTGGCCTGGGACAAACAGCTGCAACACATAAACGTGAGATCTCCAAGAACGACCGATAACGACATTAATCTGTTTTAAACAGATTTTAAACAGGGGGCGATCGTGGCTCAAGAGTTGGGAGTTCGTCTTGTAATCTGAAGGTTGCCGGTTCGAGCCCCGGCTTGGACAGTCTCGGTCGTTGTGTCCTTGGGCAAGACACTTCACCCGTTGCCTACTGGTGGTGGTCAGAGGGCCCGGTGGCGCCAGTGTCCGGCAGCCTCGCCTCTGTCAGTGCGCCCCAGGGTGGCTGTGGCTACGATGTAGCTTCATCACCAGTGTGTGAATGTGTGGATGGGTGGATGTGTAAAGCTCTTTGGGGTCCTTAGGGACGAGTGAAGCGCTCTATAAATACAGGCCATTTTAAAAGAAATGTGCTGGCTGCAGAGTGAGTGAGCAAGTTCTTAGAAACATGTTTCTTTATCGATACCTGTTCCAGGGTAGGTACGTGCTCTGTGATTGGTCTAGACAGATGGGAAACTAGATGAACAGAAACACTGGCTGAGGATCAGCGGAGCCTATCAGAGAGGCGGGAAACCACGAGTGGTAATTTCTTCTCCTACTTCCTCCCAACTTGCTGAAATAAGCTCAGACGAGCCTCTGAAATTAGCAGTGCGCACTTCCAGCGTGTGCAGTCAGCTGCACTGACACAACTCCCGTCTCTGCCACACATCCAGCGCGATAACTTCAAAGTGGGTGGACATTAAACTGCAGTTGCTATGCCAACCACCACCTGGCTTAACGTCATCTTGGCGTTTCAACCTGCACAATGCTAAAAGCCTGGCAGTTCCACGGTGGGCAGTTGCCCCCAGGGAAGCCCTCGGAGCTCTCTAACGAACGGTAGCGTACCGTTTCAGTTTTGGCGTGCGAGCTCGAGCCCAGCCTGACTTTATGTAGATGTGGCAGGTGCCACATCCCCGCTGATGTCAAAGCAGGCAGAGCGGGTGACGTCAGCCAGTGAGTGTGGGCTGAAAGAGCTGCTCCATCTTTAGAGCCTGCACCCACAGGTGCACAGCCTCCGACACCAGTGTTCAGTTTTCACCAGCTGAAGCTCCGCACGCTTGACTGAAATCATCAGAACAGCCAAGGTGCACATCCCCACCAGCAAGCACAGAAGACGCGCTCGTTCCCTCTCAGCAGGACAAAGAAGCTCCACGTCTTCTGTTTTTTCATGCATCGTATCAGAATTTGGGTTTTTCTTTACACGTTCAAATGAATAAGTTGTATTTATGAGCTGGAGTCAGGCCCTTTCTTCTTTCAGTAAACCAGTTCATGAAACACGTTTACAGCTCGATGCACGCTCAGGATTTAAGCACAGGGTAAAACCTGCAGGCAGATGAACCATGAAACACTCCGACGGATGCAGAGACACACCTGTGACAAAAACACAACCCACATGTCTAATTTGTAATTTCCATAAGAATGATTCTATTATGAGTGATCCTGCCTCAGCCACTCACTAATCAAGCCCTAATTATTCCAATTAAGCAATTATGGCTCAGTGGTACTCTGGCCAGGTCTGATTGCTGCATGCCCTTGGGTAAGGATCCAATGTCATTAGAAGAAAACTTGTTGAAGGGCTGCTCTGACAGATGGAGGTAACCTGGCTGACCTGTAATAACCTGTTCCAGCTACAGACTGAGCACCGACTGAGATGAAAAGCACAAAAACGGCGCTCTCTGCAGTCCATGCAGCATCCAAGCTACCCGCTCCTGAAACACCAAACCCTCTGAGGACGAGAAACATCATTCATGATTAACGATCACATAAACAGCCGCCGAGTCTGGGAGGAAATTCACGCTGAATTAAAGTTAAACTAATTCACGGAGTCGGAGATTGCAGTGCTTTAGAGTACGATTACATTCATTCATCTTCAATAACGAGCTGCACATTCTGGAGACGTTTTTCATCCCACTCTGTGAGTCCATTTTCAAATGTTATTGTATTTAGTGAAGACGTTTAAATTTGATCTTTTTAACAAACTCTACACGAGAGACAAAGATGAGAACGGTGTCCTGCAGCTTTTAGATCTCACTCTGGGTCAACACACCTGAACCACATGATTAGCTATTCCCAGGCCTCTGGAGAACTTCAGGACATGTTGAGGAGGTCACTCAGCCATTTAAATCAGCTGTGATGGATCTAGGACACTTCTAAACCTGCAGGACACCGGCCCTCGAGGCCTGGAGCTGGACACCCGCTCTAAACAGTATCTGTTTATGTTTAGTGTGTCTGAATATAATGACTGAGCTACAAATGAAACAACCATCACAGAGATGTCACAGACTCGTTGCTGTAGCTGAGAGCGGCTGCAGTGACAGCGCTGTACTTACGGTTCTTGAGGACGTCCGGCTCGTTGTAAGCGCCCTGTACGGTGCTCTGAGTCAGCCACACCGGCCTCTCCTTTGGCGCCTTGCTGTCGCCGGCCTGTTTCTGCTGCTCCTCCTGGTCCATGTTGATGACCACGTTCTGGGTGTACAGATCAGCGTACGTCGATCCTTTGTTCGACCAGGCTTCGCGGTGCGGGCCGCTCGCTGCTCCTGATGCTGCAGCACGTTCTCGGCTGGAGGAAAGAGTCAGCGAATAATATTTACAGCTAAGTTAACACGATTAAGTCTGAAAAATGTGCCCAGTTCACTCGTTTCGGTTCCTCCTGTGGCTACAGACAACAGCTCACCACAGCGTAACCGCTAACTGCGGTGAGCTGTTCGGACGAGGGCGATGCTGCGAGGCAGACTGACCTCTGTTTGAGAGCAGGAATCTCAGCAGGCTCAGGCTCCAGCAGCTCATGGGACAAGTTCACGTCCTCGGTTTCACGGAGCAGCACGTAGATGGGCTCGATCTGCTCGTTGAAGCGCGCCACGAGCGTCCTGGCGTCAGGACAGACCGACTCATCCTCTTCTACCTCCGTTTGGCAGAAGGTACAGCGAAATGTACCTGCAGGTGAAAAACAATCATTACAGACCTGCCTACAGGGCGCTGCATGGACCGAAGCCTGTAATACAAGCCAGCAGAGAAGTTTAGGCTCCAACTACTTTACATACCAGCTGATATATCACAGGAAGTGAACCTGCTGGTTGCCATTGGTGCCATTTGTGCTCTGATTTTGGTGATTTATAACCAATCGGGGTCAGGCTTGGTCTTCATGGAGGCTGGGCGTGGTTGTGTCGACACAACAGGAATAAGAGCGCTGACAGAGACTCTTGCATTAAACAGGAAACGTCTGCGAGGGAAACTGTATGCTGTGCACACCACACTTGCTTCCTACCATTAAGAGAAGGGCACGCTTCGACCATCTGCTTCTCTGGCTGATTTCAGCTTCAGTAGCGGGAGCCGTGCCAGCAGCAGCGCAGAGCTCACGCCTGCTTTATGTGTATGAGAGGACAAAACCCCCCCAGACCCCGAAAACTACTATTACAACTAAAGCACCTCCAGATCAATGCAAATGAAGTGAACAGTTACAGCTGAGGCTGCTCAACAACTGAAAGGCAGCAGCGTCTCATTAATGTACAAACTGTTGTTTGTGCATTTAAGATTAAAGTGGTAAATACCTCATTAAGATCTTATTTATCCTCGATGTGTGCCAAGCGGCACCAAGCTGAGATTACTGGAAAAAATCATTACAAAGTAAATCACGTAAATATGATTAATACGTTCATAATGGTCTGGCACTGGTCTCTGGCTCAGCACTGAAACAACTGGGTTTAGCTCAACCTGAAACATTCTGCTTTTCCTGTACAGAGGTGGAGAACATGTTGGCCGAAGGTGAGGAATGAACACGTCAGGTGGAGTGAGTGGAAAAAAGATCACGTGTTACAACATTCACGGCGCGCTGTGAAAACAGAGCTGCAGGGCTTCGGCTCTCCTTTGTGGGTCAGAACGAGCTGGAAGACCAGCAGTGTCGTGTCCGATCCTCGTGAGGTTACGCTGAGTGTTGCTGGCCCGACAAAACCAGCCCATCAAACTACCAGCAGAGCTGCAGGTACCCGAAGGCTGAACCCTGACCGAGGCAAAGCAGCAGAGACAGGAAGCGGTGCAGAGGAACCGTGAGGCGTGTCATCACAAACACACTGATGGCTCATTTATCCAGAGTGACGAGACTGCACATCTATTCTGTCCCATCTGTGTCTTTTCTTAGAGCTCGATCATTTAAACACACCCACATTTTAACATAGTGATTCTACAGTGAATCAACCTGACAGCCAACAACATCAACTATTTACAACATTTATCCCAGTAAACCACAAGTACTGGACAGAATTATTCACTGAAAATGAGAAACCATCTTTAATGATTTGTTGACCACTCCTGTGTGACTCCTAGAAGCCGAGCCGGATGGTTGGCAGTCAGCCCCGACCCTGGCAGGCAGTCAGCGTGGTGTCACAGGTTAAAGCTGCCGCAGTTTATGAATGAAAACAGCTCACAAACAAATACAAACCTTTGCAGAGAGAGCGCAACGTGGACAATGTTTCTAATGCAAATCAGGATTTTTAATGCACATGTTGGCCCTGCGACAGACTGCCGACCTGTCCGGGGTGTACCCCGCCTCTCGCCCTATGACAGCTGGGATAGGCTCCACCCCCCGTGACCCTGACAAGGATAAGCGAACGAGAATGGATGGATTTTAGCAAACACACATACAACCCAGTTCATCAGTTCTGGGGATGTTGCTTCAATTTCTCTAAAACCAAATTCAAAGAGAGGCCATTTTCCCAAAATGCATTGCATCCTGTGTAATACAGTAATGTGCACTGCTCGGAAAGGAAGCACTTTAAAACATCAGATCAGAAATAAATCCTGCTGGATATCTGCACCGAGCTCCAACAGCAAAGTGAGAGTGGCTCCACTGTGACTGCAGGGAGACAGCAAATGTTCGGGTAAGGGCGCGTACTGACATCATCATGGCCGCTGTAAGTCATTGATTACCGACTATTTAAATCTGACGTGAAAGTGAAGATTCTGGGTTTTTAAAGTGCACAAACTGTTTCATGGTCACCCACGTTTGGTCTGTGTCATTCAGAGCTCATCATTATGCAGCATATGCAAGTATGTGTGAGGCTTATGACTCATCCTTCTTCAAATAACAGACATTTAAAGTGAACTTTAACATGGCAGAATGTTAGCGTACGACTTGGAGCTTATACAAAGCCACGTACACGTCATGAGCTTCAATGGCAGTCTTTTCATGTCCACGTAGCACTGCTAACAAAGTGCACACACTCACACACCTTTAGAAGTAACTCTGCATTAAATGGACAATGAACAAAAATTCATGCTTCTATCTCTATAACGTACACGATCCTCTGTTTGTTCACACTATAGTTTCAATAGGAGGAATTGTCATTAAATGTATCCTGCTATGTGCTGTTACTGCCATCTAGAGGTGAACTGAGGAGCACACAACATAATGGAAGTGCAAACAAAAAACAACACATCAGATCACAAAGTGATCCTTGCATCAAAAATACTGAAGTCTTCATTTAACTTTGACACACACTCATTTCTGTACATCCACTGTGAATCACTGCCAGTCATGAGCGCCTGCCTCGCTTTCCCCACATATTATATCTCCAAACATTTTCCAGATAAACTGAGAGCCAGATTTACCAGGTTAGGATAATCACAGAGGGGCAAACACGTCCACAGAGGGAGAAAGTTCTGCATCTATTGATTTAAAAAAAAAAGATGAAGAGTGTCCTCCTCCCTCCCACTGACACTGCACGTCGAGTTCAGTTACTTTATGCTTGGTTTTAAAATCAAACTACTGAGGAGCAGAAATATGTGGGGCCTTGCTCCAAACCAAAGGGTTTAAGACTCAGTGAAGATCTACGGGAAAGAGCCAAAGCTGAGGCACCACGCTCACCGTTTTGAGCCGTCCACCTGCACCAAATACTCAGAAAACGACAAGTTTCTCTGTGCACGCAGCATGCTATTTAAATATATATGAACTCTCCCCACCCGCGGTAAAGAAAATTAATTATTCATCCCATAAAAGCTGGACTAAAGTCCCGTCAAACTGCCAGAATGCTTTCAAAAATCCAAGCGTGTTGAATATTACAGTATAGCAGCACTGGTCTGCACCTTTACCTGTCATAGGGTCGAAGAGTTGGTTGGCCTCGAGGTCGGTGAAGGTGGAGAAGCAGCAGGGACACCGGAAGGAAGCGCGGTTGGTGGAGTCTCGCTCATCTGTCTCAATGCGTCGTCGCATGTGATCCAGTTTATACTTGACCACATTGACCAGTACCCTAAAAAGATGTAAGACAGAAATAAGACTACTGAGTCTAAAGTGTCCAACACACACACACACACACACACACACACACACACACACACACACAGCAGAGATTTAAACCTGTAATTAATGAAGTAGTAGTTATGTCTCGTTGTCTTGCCATCGGGCGCCGTCTCCACCCTCATGCGGCACTTCACAAACTTGTCTGCTTTTAGGGTATTGAGTACTGAGCGCAGCTGCTTGCGGTCATACTTGAGCAGCTCCAGCATGTCCTCCTCACGCACACACGGGTTACGGATCAGCACATCCAGCGCCAAAGCATGCTCCAGGCCATAAAAACCCCTCACGACCTGCTTGGCCAGCCGCTTCAGAGCTGCGGGGACCTCGGTCAGTACTGCTGGTTCAATCATCTTTGGGTCTGGAGAGAAACAGCTGCAGGGCAGAGTGCGACAGCGGGGAGAACATCAGGAAGGCAGGGATGAGGAGCAGGGCCAGAAGAGTTATCCAAGTATAAAACTTTAAATTTAAGAGGGAAGTGTAAGGTATACTAGAGCACATTAACCCAGTAGGAGAAAAATCCCGGCCGCGGTATCGATGTCAAAGCATCAATCACAGCTAGCGTAGCTTAGCTTGGATCCAAACAAAGACTAAAACATAATGCATCCGGTTTGCCGGTGTTATTGTACATTTTAATGTAATACACCACAATAGAAAGACGGCGTGTTAATCGTTTACCGGTCATCTTATTATTTCACACTTTATCTTTAATAAAAGCTCGATGAAGTTACTTTTATTTAAGTTAAGCGCTAACACTGAGTTGGCCTGCAGAAACCCGGCAGGCGTTAACGCGACCCTTACCGGTTATTGTTTATGTGCCAACAGTCATCTCAGAGCCACACACACTGACGTTAACTCACAAAAACACCGCTAAAACTCACTGAACACAAACGCACGTCACGGTCCTTTAGCTGCTGGGTTAGCCAACATGTTTCACTTCTTATTTTGAGACGACGACCCCGGAAATGAAAAATAAACCCGGGCCAACTGAAATGTTGGCCCGGCTGCACTAAACTGCACCCATAGAAGCGAAGAAGCTTGAGTGACGGGCATGTTGGCGAATAGCATGGCTTTGTTTTCATGGGGCGTGGTCTTAAGAACTGTTTACTTCCTGATCGCGTCTATCAAAAAATGGCCTCTCTTGACAGGGTAAAAGTGTTGGTTTTGGGAGATTCCGGTGAGTTATGAACTATTTTCACAAGCAAAACCTTTACTACTGTCTGCTCTTATTTATAAGGACGCTTGCTTATTCTGAACGGAACTCGCTCACTTATAAAACTCTTAATCTTTAAGTAGGAGACCGACGCTGTGGTCAGTTTGCTGCTGTGGCAGTTAAAGCTACGGATAAACATCACGTAACACACCTGTCATGTCTAAGCTCACGGGTAATTTTCACAATAAAGGTACATCGGCGAGCGACGCTGAATTTTAATGCCCGTCATTTTTACATCGGGCACTTTGCGGCAGGTGGATGTAAGAAGAGTGTTTGGGTGTGAAACGATTCCACACCAAGAGTTTAAATTTCACAGAAACACGTTTTGCCGAATCAGAGAGCCACACCCTACAGATCATTACGGATACTCACTGATGTTGTTCCGGAGATGTGCTCTGCTGGAAGCCGAGTCTGTCGTAAACTGACTCGATGTTTCGGTGAAGTTCAGTCTTCCAGTCAGCAGCAGCTGTAGAGTCTATTCATAATTTAAATCCATTAATATCGATCAGCTACACAAAAATGTTTAACCTGCTGTGCTTTGCATCAGCTCCTTTTATCCAGTATCATTTTGTGCTCTTTGCAGGGGTTGGCAAGTCTTCCTTGGTCCATCTGCTATGTCAGAATCAAGTTTTGGGAAATCCATCATGGACTGTTGGCTGCTCTGTAGATGTGCGGGTAAGCAGGTCCAGCATCTTCTACTTTACAAAGCCCTGCTGGCCTTTTATTTTAAACTCGTATAAAACACGACAGAACACACTAACGAGAGGGAGACAGGTGAACCTGAAAGGAACAGGTGCACAGGTTTAAATACCAGGGTGTCAGGGGTGATCTGTGACAGAAGGATAGCAGCAAGAGTGAGAGGGCAGGTAATGAGGCCTGCTATGATGTATAGTTTGGTGACTGACAAAAAGATAGGAGGTAGAGCTGAAGGTGTTCAGGTGTTCGGTGGGAGTGACCGGGATGGACAGGTTTAGAAATGAGTCCATCAGAGGGACGAGGCTGGGATGGTTTAGGCATGTGCAGAGAGGTAAGAGTGAGATGGCGCCCGATGAGCTATTGATGTCGAAATAATTATTCTACTCCAGGTTCAAGACTATAAGGAGGGAACCCCAGAGGAGAAAACCTTCTACATTGAACTCTGGGATGTTGGAGGATCCGTTGGCAACGCCAGCAGCGTCAAAAGCACGAGAGCAGTCTTCTACAACTCGGTTAACGGTAAACACTTACAGACAGATCTGAAAGCATTGATTTCATCAGTGACGTGTTATTGAGACATGCTCTTCATGTTTGGGTTCTTTTAGGAATTATATTGGTCCACGATCTGACCAATAAGAAGTCCTCTCAGAATCTGTACCGATGGTCACTGGAAGCTTTGAATAAGGATTCCTCTCCAACTGGAGTCATCGTTTCAAACGGGTGAGCAGATCTGTGTGTTTGACATCGCCCGTCTTCATTCAGAATAATAAACGGAAAACATGGCTAATGTGGAAGCTTCGATATTTGACTGCAGCGACTATGACAGAGAGCAGTTTGCAGAGAATCCGGTGCCTTTGCTGTTGATCGGGACCAAGTTTGACCAAATTCCAGAAAACAAGCGCAGTGAAGTTCTCACTCGGACGGCTTTCTTGTCCGAAGACTTCAATGCAGAAGAAATCAATCTTGTAAGTCGCCTCACTCTGCTCTACGAGCTCTCAGCTTCAGCTCCTTTAAACCAATGAATCCGTTTCATTCATTGTTTATCTCTCACATAAAGCACAACTCATGTTTAACACTCATAAAAAAGGAAACTAGACTAATGATGAAAATAAAGCGGCGATTCACACACTCACACAACACCTACGTTTTTCAGTCAGTAATATACAAAAACAAATCCTAGTTCACAACAATAAAAACAACACATGTGTCTGGTCCTCCAGCCTAAAATAAAACATGTGGAAGCTGCTGTGGTCAGTTTCACTGCGGGAGCTGAACGCTTTTGGTGTTGTGTTGTTTTCCCAGGACTGCACCAACCCCAGATACCTGGCTGCAGGCACCTCAAACGCTGTGAAACTCAGCAGGTTCTTTGACAAGGTGAGAGCTGTGAGCTGCGTCACTGCGGTCTGTCAGGCAGGCCGTGACTCAGGCTGCGTCCACACTAGCCCAGATAGATTAGGGTTAGGGGGGAATGTTTCCGATGAAAACGCCGTTCCGGCTCTTCGAAACGTCGCGGCAAAATGTGGAGGAAAAGCAGCGAGTTTTTTAAATGGACTCACAATGAGGTGGAGTTGTTGCTGCGAGTAACACAAAAGTACAAAGTTGCAACAGTGAGTGAGAATTAAAGAATTCTTTGTTTAATTAGCCACATGACTGCATCACATGACTAACATGCGTCATCACTTTAGAAAGTCTCTGTTTTCAAATGTGTGCGGTTTTGAGAGCGTTTTCAAAACGGCGTCTCAGTCTGGACGGGAGGCCAAAACAGAGAGACGAGGTTGCGTTTTCAAACGAAAATGCATTAGTGTGGACGCAGCATCACACGCGTGTGTGCACCTCCGTCTTTGTGCTGCGGTTACACGTGTGGATTTATCGAGAGCTGTCAAACAGGGACAAACATCATTTGGGCTTCACGTTTATTTTGAATCATAGAGGATAAATGTCTCACATTAATGGGAGTCCTTTCTCTTGACGTGTACGTGTGTTCTGACTCATGTTAAACCTTTCAACAGGTAATAGAGAAAAGATATTTCACCAGAGATCCCAGTCAGGTCAGTTTGTTTTCTCTTTTTTCTGTCCAGTCAGTCGTAACAGTTTTGGTAAAAGGTTGAAGGTGACCTGTTTCCCACTTTCTCTGCAGATGACTGGCTTCACAGACAGAAAACGGTTCAACTTCAAAAGTTTGCACTATGACTGAGACCTGTGATCAGACCCCGCCCACTCAGACACGCGCTGGAAGTGAATCTAGAAAAGTTTATAAAAGCTGGAAATGACATGTGAAGAAGGTGCTGAGGACAGAATGAAGAGGCACGCTTTGAGCTTTTTATTACACCATCATGAATGAGACCACACGTTTTTAGAACATATGCTTTACTGCTCCTCTGACTCGTGCATCATTCCTGCTCCTCCATTGTTTGCTTGATCCACGGGATGAAGGAGCTGACTTTAGTATAGACATGCGGGTACTGTGGATTATTGCAGTCCTCTGCCCAGATGAAGGCTGTTATACCCTGAGGCTTTGTGTTGCAGATAAGTGGCCCACCGGAGTCTCCCTACAAAGAAAGACTTGATTGAGCGATCTGTGTAAAGGTTGCACATTTTACATGAATAAAAGACTAAACCTGTATTTGAGTTATTAGCTGCTGGGCTGCTTTTGTTATTTCGTTACCTGGCAAACACCTCCGTCCCGTCTGGTAAACTTGGTGCATATCATGTGACCAGAGTTAAAGTGTTTTTGCCAAATGTGTTTGCACTCAGTGCTGAACTGCATCTTCTCTGTGGCTTCTTTAAGGACATTTGAACGAGATCCATTAGCTCTGGTTAGTCCCCAGCCGGCCACAGCACATTTAATGTTGGCGGGTGTTTCCCCGTTCTTCTTAGGCAGTCCTATGGTCCTCACGTACTTATTCAGCGTGGCGTTCTTCTTCAACTGTCAAAGAGAATCAGTGAAAGTTGCTCCTGCATCAGTTCAACACATGAACCCAGTGCACAGGGAATCAGGTCACTTTAAACTTTTTCACTTTACCTTCAGTAACATGATGTCATTGTTTAAGTTCCCAGTGAACCCTGGATGAGCGAAATACTCGTCCACTTCGATGCGTTGCTGAGTTCTCTCTTTCTTGGTGATGTCGTGTGCTCCGAGCACCACGGTGCAAGAACCCCAGGTCTCATTTCTGAACAAGAAACACAATGTTCAAAGAAGCGTCTGCAGTCACACTGATACTACGGATGGTGTGAATCATAATATCGACACAAATGAAGGTCCATGCAGTCTTCTCAGTGTGTTGCAGCACTCCAACACCGTTAGAAAAATGACTCCCAGGAAAACTGTGGTGGCCCATCACCCCACACAAACACCTTCCACTCATTTATATGTAACTTGATGGTGTGTCCTCAGTATCACAGTTCAGCTGTGATACAGTTTTATCATAGTGACTGCTGATAGAACAGCAGCAGCTAAAATAACATCCTTTTTTAAAAACAGTTATATATATACACCATATAAAAAGCGTACTTGCAGTGAGCTGCAGTCAGAACAAAGTCCCTCTGAATAAGGATCCCTCCACATGAATGTACTCCCCGATACTGGACTGACACCATGTACGGTCTGGAGTGGGGCTTTGCCTCCCTGCCACCGACTATGCCGCTCTCAGCAGCCCCTTACAGGAGAGCAAAGGTCAAATCGAAACAGCGACCACAGAAAATTCTTCATTTTGGCCTTTAAAGAAGTGGGAAACTGTATTTCAGCACAGGTCTAAAATATCCTGTCATTGAAACTCTGCCAGTCTTCTTACCTGTGAGGGAGATTTGCAGAAAGACGTAAAGGATGCAGCAGATCATGGTGGGACAGACGCTGCAGGCTTGCAGTGACCCCCCCACTCCACACGTCTCTTTTTATAACACGCCTCCCACAACAGAAACTTTGTGGTCAGAAGTTTCTGCACGGATATCACACCTTTGTCTGCACCGCTGCACGTAACAGGTGGTGGTGCATCACACACCTCCAATCATTTACCAGCAGAACATTATTTCTGTTTTCAGGATGAATTAGAGTCTGGATCATTCATTTATTATTATTATTAATTCATATTTTCAATTATGTATATAAATATATCTA